CGCTACTACAGCCAGCCCTAAAACCTTATCTTTGCTTCTGGCTCTCAACCAGTCCGGGGGGGGTGGTGGTGGTGGGGTACTAGAGGGGTGGGGGAAGCATAGGAAAGCATATAATCTTCCTTCCACATATGGTGTATATTTAAGTAATCTGCCTGTTAAAGACTTCTACAGTTTTTTAGAAATTGCCATATAATAGACAATTCACAGCCATGCTATTTAAAGGCTTTTACCAGTTTGTTTTTGAAGGTGCAATGGGCTGATGCTTTTCATGTAGTTTTATTGTTGCAGACACACCAAATTTACATCAGGTCTGAATTCTGGCCACCATTTTAAAAGACTAAAGGTCATGAGAAATTGGTGAAAAAGCATCAGAGGTCTTAACTTTCTACCTGCAGAATGCAAAAGAGGGAATCTCAGAGAACTGAGACAACTCTTGGCAGTGTATCATTCCTTTTGGTGAGCTAGAATGAGGAGGGTGAACCAGTTCATGAAGAGAATAAAGTTACTGGACTCCGTACCTTTTTCTCTGATAGACATTTTTGCAGCTTCTGGAATTAGGAAATCATAAACCAGCTCTGCTACAATCTCTTCTGACTGTAGGCGAGTTCGACTACAAAACAGATGCAGAGTAGTATTAGTATTTTAATTTTCTTTCCAGATCACCTCTGCAAACACCAGACTCCCTTGTAAATATTCTCACTATTTTCAAGGGAGTCTATTGTCATGGCAGTAACTGTCAGCTGGGTCTGTCTTTATCCTACAAATAGGTGACAGCGTGACTTCCCCTTTGCACTGCGGTGCTGATGTGTTCAATACTGCATTTGAAAGCAATATTTCCAGGGAGATCACCCTAGACTTCTTATCCTCAAAGGTACTTAGGAGCCCAGTTCTCACTGATGACAAACTGAGTTAGACACACAGATACCTCTGAGGATTTGCATCTTTGTCAATTTAGTCTTTGGCCCATTGCTGAGTTTGCTAAATTCTTCCCTTTTGTGACTCTGCATTTGGCTGGTCCCCATGCTCTTTTCGATGCCAGTGTTTGGTGGGTTCCCAATTGGCCCAGGGGCTGCATGCATTATCTACGCTTCATTCTCCCCAAGGATTTCAACATTCTGGTTGTATTCATCTAGTTACAAAATACACAGCTGCTGTACCATAGGAGAGTCACTGTGTCATTGGGATTTTTATGGCTTGATTCCAAAAAAAGAGCATAGAAACTGAACTGGAGGTTTGGCAGGTCCTAAAAAGTATTCACTGCTGATGCCCCAGCCAAACACAAGACTGTGGTGTTCTCAACAACTTACTCTACTCAAAGTGCCTTGTCAGGCAGCCATCAATATGACTGACCCCCATAGAAATTGGCAGTTTCTTAAAGAACAGCCACCCCAGAATGAAAGGCTGCTGTATCTTTTAGCATCTCTTTCAAACGGATTTTCTGTAGTAGTGTAAATAAATGAAAAGACCAGTATGAATGGGTATTGCTTTGGCAGTTCCCAGATTCGCTTAAAGCTCAGCCACAGCATCACATTGGCATGGAGGGGTCTAAAAAGCGTGATTCACAGATCCCACAAGTGATTTGCAAAGGGAATCTGGCACATACTGTATAGAAATAAGGCACTGATGGATTTATATGTGTGTACCAGGTAGTAACAGCATGGTTCCCATACAGCAGTCACGCTAATGAAGCGATCATGAACAGTATCGCTCTGCCCTTCCCATGTCTTAGACTATACATGTAACCTCAGATGCAGATCGCCAGGCAGGTTCTAAACGGCTGTAAACAGCCTCTAACGTGCTGTTTAATAACGTACCGGCTTTCCATTTCATAAGCAATGTCGTTGATTTCTACAGCCATTCTCTGAATCTCTTCCCTGGCTTGTTCTTCAGCTGTGTTCTCCATGCTGCTCAGGATAATGTCTTCCAAGTAGGAGTCAATAGTGCTCTGGTGCACCTTCACCACCTGGAACAAAACACCAAGATATTGTTCCTCTGCCTATTGCTGTGCCAGGAGTGTGGTGGAAACATTTCCAAGGAAGCAAGAACAAGCCATTTTCACCAGACTCTTAATTTCAGGCAGGCCAGCCCGAGATTTGGTTTCAGATGTGCCTTCTGGGAAGAATAACTTGTGTAAAAATTTATTTTCTAATAATTGTTTCTGAGAAGTAATCGAACAGAAACAAGTGCCGGAAAGAACCAGAGGTGGAAGAAAAACTTATCTGCAGATCCAGTTCTGCTGCAGCAGGTTAGTTCTGTGAATGCAATGGCAGTTGCTTCCTCAGTTCTGATGGTCCCCTGAGCAACTGCCTAATAATAATCATCAGTATTGACTTCAGTAAATTCATCAGCTTTCATTCAAGCAAATCCTGAAGGAAAAGGTTCCATCAAGCCAGTCAAAGTAACATGAATAAAACCAAGATAAAATTATTGGTTTCCTTATAATGGTTGTAGAGCAGAGATTCTACAAATGGGTGTTTTCCTTCTCCTAGTCTGAAGGGCATAAGCTTATAGCACTTTGACCCTCCTTGCTTTCCACTCAGAGATTCAGAAAAGATGAGAAGCTAAAATTAAAGGAAAAATAAACATGATGCCAGATTCTCTTGGTATTAACCTCCTCCCACAAAGTTTGAAAATTATTGGTTTAGTCAATTAGGCTCCCACTCATTCCTTTCAACTGGGAGAAATATGCTTCGTGCAGTCAAGAGCTAGGGAATAAGACTGTAGAATAGTTATGGAATACGGTAATTCAGGAATTTTGTTTCTGGGTTTCAAGGTTATGTCATCCATTATCATTACTTCAAAATAATTTTTGTATCTCTTGTTATTTGCAGTGCAAAACCTTTCCAAAACCTTGCTTAAAGGCATCCTTCCTGGGAGAGCACCTAGTAGTTCTGCTGGACAGCCCAAGTGCTGACAAAGCATTATTCCTAAAGATGATCTAGGTGCATCTGTTCTCCACAGGCATTTGCTGTGGAAATTTAGAAACCTACATCCTTTCATGTTATGCCTAACAGGACTGTCTGTAGTGGTATTCAGATCGTCATTAATTTAATGGGCATGACTCTCTTAGGAAGGAATCACCCTCTCTTCCCTAAGGCTTTGCCCTCAATTTTAAAACTAGCCATCACCAAAGTCAGAGCTGAAGCACCTCCCTTCCATCTGGATCTTCCCACAGGGAGGCAGTTCCTACAAACCACCCACAGTCCCAGCAGTCTCCCTCTCTTGCCTGTTTGAAAATCTCGTCTTCTTCCTGACGCCGCCTCTCTTCCACCTGACGACGTCCGCTCTCCTCTGCTTCCCGCACCCGCCTCTGCCTCTCCGCCAGCATGACAAAAGCGTGGATCTTCCGTTCTTCTTGCAGCCTCACCAGCTCTTTGGACAGGAAATCAAACATGTTCGCCAGTACCCTTCCTTCTTCCCTGGCCAAGTGGTTTTCCACTAATGACAGCTTTTTAAAAAAAAATGCAAAGAATTGTGTTACAAACCCCAGGAATGTTGTTTGAAGTCCCAGGACTACCACAGGCATGTGAAACAGCTCAGCAACATCCACTCAGACCAGCCATGGGATGACCCTAAGAGTTTTGCATTCTTGTTTTACACACACTGGCCTGGATTCTGCATCATGTAATGTTCCTGTATACAGGCTCCGATGGCATAGAGAGGCTAAAAGATGGCAAAACTAGTCAGTGTGCGAATAGTCTTGTCACTGTTACACTAGGACAAGCAGGCCCTACGCTTGGGTGGGTGGGAGGAGATAAAGCACTAGACACACTGTATTTCAGCTATTAAGAACTGCTTTTGTGGCTGTGAGTATAATCAGAATAGTTGCTGAGGCCATCTGCTTGTTACTGGGGAATGCTCCACTGCCCTGATTAAGAAGTGACAATGAAATTACTTCAGCTGCATACACTCCATCTTTTTGTGCTAAGCTTAGCTAGACCAGAACAGAAAAACAGGATCCAAAGTGGCAAACGAAGCCTCTCTCTAGCATTTGGAAGTAAACCCTCAATCTTTATGAGTAGACAGCTTAGGCAAAGGTTTAGGAAAGTGCAGTTGTGAGTACAGCCACATTTCTATCCTCTCCAAAGGATATAAAACGTCTGTTACAGTTCAAAGCCACCTCAGTGAAATAGTATGTCTTGATTGGACATTCATGATGCAACCAAAGCGATATAACTTGCTGAGGTAATAAAGCAACCATGAGTCCCTACAGTTTTCGATACTGAGTTATTACCTAAAACTGTACAAGTTACTAACTGCTAACAAATTCAAGTCAACAGTAATTCTATTGAGTTTGCAAAAGTGCAAACGAGATCTCAAAATTCCAGGTTATGGGAAATCAGAAAGTCTGTGACAGAGCTGAGACTAGATTCCAGCGTTACTGTATGGCGTTACTGTACCATTCACTCCTTGCTCCAAGCACATCATGTTTTATGGGTTGGGTATGTGTGACTGCACTTCAGAAAGGGACAAGATCTATGGTAAGATCGTTATCTCCAGTATGGACTATGAAGCCACAGTCCTTGGCAGGAGGGAATGTCTGGAGCTGGCTGGGATGCCGTGTCTCTGTTGGAATAAACAAGCAGTAACAGAGTAGACCTGAACATAAAACTCAAAATGGAGCTGAAATATCCCAGACAAGTAGTAATAAATCATCTTTCTTTCACTTCTGTGCCATTTGCTCGTGCAGTGTTTCAAAGAAAGTAGGACTGTCAGTGTTGCACATATCTAGAAGTGACAATGCTTAGGCCATAGGCATTTAAGGTGGAGGACAGCAACACAGTAACTGCAGCGGCCCACAGGGAGGGAAAACATGGAACTAATACACTGCTTTCCCTTTGTTGCTGCAGGTGCTGTGTCTGAACCTGGTGTGAAATGGAGGAAAACAACCCAGAACCATTCTTGTCTTAGATTTCTGTTATATATCAGGTTGGAAATTTTCAACCTCTCATCTTTGACCATTTTATCTGGAGTTTACATCTTATTTCTGCAGAAAGTATTTCTTGAAAAATACCTTTTTTTTATACTGGAAAGGTCAAAAACCTGAAAAAAATTATGACCACCAAAACCTAAAGAACCGTGAGTGATCAGTGACTTTCTAAAATAGCCACACACAGAGAAAACTCCTGCACATGCATACCAGAGTTTTAAAGTTCAAAATGTTTGGAGACCTGTGCCTTGGACTGTGTGCCTTCAGAGACATAGTAAAAAAAGAAATGCAAGAGTAGAGGAGAGAGATACCAGCAGAGGGTGATAGTGGCTCTCCCAAAAGGAAATTCTGAGATCAGAGGTCAACATCTTTACCATTTGCTCTCTCTGCTTCTCTATGTCATTATGGTGCCTGAACTGCTCTCTTCTTCACTCTCACCTGAGCTTCCAGAAGAGAGGGAGCATTTCAAGTTTCTAACGCCTCAGACTTTTATTTGTCTCTTAATTCCTCAGTAGAAAAATTCTGTATTCCTGCATTCCACACCTGGGCTCCCTGTGTATGAGGAAGCATCTGGAAATGATAAATAGTAAAACAGCCATCCAATTCAATTTTTACTGAGATCTGAAGGGAAATTTTGTTGCTGCCCACCCAGTGGGAAGCAGTGGTCTGGCTTATCTCTGCCAGGCCTGCTGGCCAGTGGATGCTGTTACAATAATCTGGAACCTGCAGAATTGCCTCACAGCTGGTCACTGAGAAAACAAGAGATCAGTAAAAACTATAGGAAATGAATGCGGGAGATAGATACTCTATATTGGAGATGCAGTGAAGTCTGGACAAAATTTCTTTATGGTCCATTTCAGACCGACGTCTGCCATTTGATTCACTTTGCTCTGGAAGGTTGTGGCCCTGCAAGGAAATAGGATGGGAATTTGCATCCCCAGCTCTCACTAGATCCATGGCAGAGGATGGAGCCCGAAATTTCTCTGCTCTCCATAACAGTGGCAAGTACAACAATGCGACACCATTGCTAAGGTCCTAGAAGTCTTGAGCCCAGCAAGATTTACAAAGTAAGTCTGCTTTGGCTTATTTTGTGATGTTTTATGCCTGAGGAGGAGCCTGAGAGGGTGCCAAGCTAGAAAAAGAACAGGGAAATGACAGAGCAGTAACACACATTCAGTAAAACATCTGACAGATGTGAGTGACAAGCATGTATTGTGATGCCAGGTCACAGCACCAGTCAAATGGATTGAAATGTGGGAAAACTGAGGTTCATCTGACAGTTGTTCAAAGCCCTGTAAATACAAATAAGTGCTCTGTCTGCAAACAAAGCAAGTGCAGCCTGGGTAGCAGCTGTAGTCAGGGTGCCTCAGTCTGTTTCTGAGATTCCCCAGAGCTCCCACAGCAGAGAGAGCAATTTTAGCCCCTCAGGCATTCAATGCTTGGCCTGTGCTAGGAGAGCATTTTTGTTACTTGGGCTGCCTTCTGTGCTGCGGATAATAGAAAACAAAAAGAAATGAAATGCGAGAGTGTTGGTGGCACTGCAAGCACAGAGTGCCTGGTCAGGACAGTGTTGTGAATCAGCCCTCCCATCTATACAGGCAAACCTTGTGCATTTGCAAGTCATGCTGTTGCTGTAGGGCCAGTGTCATTTGCTCCTCTGCCTTCAAAAGCAGCTGTCCGTCCTTCTGGAGTGCGTGAGTGGTGCGCAGCTCTCTGATCAGGTCCAGCTGCTTCTCCTTCTCTTGAAACATCTTTAAAATACAGTTAAACAACCAAGCATATTAAATGGAGAATATAGATCAATGTGCTTTGCCAGCAGAGTACACCCTTTTTCTCCAAGTTGCAGGGTCAGCTGTTTCCAAGACCTAGTTCTCTAAGAAATTTATGGCTGCATTTAGGCAAACACTACTGCTGTCAAGTAAATCTTGCCTAAACCCTTCTGCATGGAAGATGAAAATCTGCTGTGGAGTATAGATGATCCATTGCTACTTTGTTATAAAAGAATTATTTTATTATCTTTTTTCATTCTGTTTGGCTTCACCCAGAACTCAAACCACTGGAATGCAGAACAGCAACACCAATGTAAAGCAAAAAGGGGAATATCCTTCTGGATATTCTGTTTTACCAGCCTCAATGTCAAAGCTTCCCAGTGTGAGCATTGTCCCTTTTCCTCAGTCCTAGGTTAGATGTCTCCTGTTTCAACATCTACTGTTCTCTGACCTTTGTTTTGAGGGAGTCCAGCAACAGCTTAAAGCAAGAAATTGGCAAGGAGGTTGTTGACACTGGTGCTGTCCCTCTTAAGGGGTTGTGGCCCACCCCTTGCCTGACACTGTCTTCTTTTTATTCCCCTTCTCTTCCAACAGGACAACAGCAACAAGAGGATCACTCAACCTTGCTTACATCATTGTTCAACTGAGTCAGGTATTTCTGATACATTAGTAGCTGGAAGGAGATTCCTAAAAAAGATGGGACATTTCATGGTGTGAAAGTCAACAGTCCTGCAATGGCATCAAACATCGTTCTCATAGATCACCACAGAAGGGGAGGGGACTTGGGAAGTCTATATTCCACCTCAAGCCACTTTCACAGTATTGCATTGTTTGCTAAAGCTCGGGTCAGGGTCCCACATAGGAACACTTCACAAACATTAAACAATTAGTGCAAGAGGGAATACCAATGATCCAGAAAGAAGCAGCAGGCATGAAAACAAAACCTCTGGACTGGTCTGATCAAAAGTGACAGGCTTGCTTAATATAAAGCCCACGAGGCATGGCTACTCAATTTTTACCTAGACCCACTTCTACTCCACTGAAAACAGAACGATGGGTCCTGTACTTGCTGGAAATCGTGGTGGTATGCTTCAACTGCTCTTCCTCTAAGGTTTAGCTCACCATCACAGGAAACTGGAAAGATGGTATGAAATACAAACTGCCCTGCTGGGATGTGGGAAGCTTCTTAGGCCTGTGATCTTAGCATAATCAAGGCAAAATGTAGTCATGGTCCAGAGCTAGTCTAGAATTTGCCATTTGAGTAATTCTGCTATGAAGCATCTAATTAAACAGCTGAGCATAGGGCATGGCAGGAACAGGGAGACATTCACAGGCATGTATAGGAACCTAGAAGTTCCTGTAATAAACCTGGGCTGGAGAGCAAAGACTTCAGCTTTGAAGGACTTCAGATAATGTACAGGAGGATATACTGCAGAAGCCTCATTACCTTTGATAAGTGCTGTGGAAGAAAGATTGCAAACACACCTTAATCGTTCCCATCATTCTGAAGAGAGACATAAACAAAGAGAGACAGAATACCATGTTCTGAATAGCCCTGCCTCGGAGCAACTTCTGCAGACAGATCACTGCCAGTTCTGTTTCCTCTTCCTCCTGCCGGAGCACAACAAATATCCACACAATAATTAATTATGTCTTTGGAGACTGAGATTTATATAGATTATATAACTATCAAAAAGTCTAACTCATATCCAGCTTTTTCTCAGTTGTTTCTGAACACCATTCTTCTAATTTCTATGGAAAGGAAGGTTAGTCAGAATAATATTGTACTTCCATGTTTTATAAGATATGGAGGAGAAAGGCTGTATAATTAGATTATCTTAAGAGATTTTAGAGGGTCTTTAGATAAGCGTACCTAATAGTAAGGAGATGTTGATGGAGAAAATTATACATTAGAGGTACTATTTGTAGCTTGACTGAAACTGCTACATAAATTTAACAGGTCAAGACACTAAGGGGGTAGAATTATTATTGAAGGAAGTGCAAGAGAACTGTTAACCATAAATAAAGAGATTAAATTAAAAGGGAACATATATGATGTTTCTTTTGATATTTATTCCAGTGATGACCTTTATCGGAGTAACTCAGTAAATTTAAGACTCAGAAAGTGATAATTTGGAAAGAAAATTAATTACATCATATTGTGATTTGTCTCTTTGAGAACTTTACTGACCTAACATTATGTGACTGATACCAACTTGGAAGAATGATGGAGTGGGAAAGGGAGCATGATCATAGAAGAAAAAAAAAAAAAAAAGGCTTATTTTAACTAGAGGAAGAACAACTGGAAGCACTTTTTCTTACTGAGGGGTCTTCTAGTCTGGAGTTGACAGTAGCAGAAGGAAAAACCCGATTGGGTGCCTGGGAAAGATAAAAAGAAATCTAAAAATTGCAAGGATGATTTTTTAATAAAGAGCCCATGAGCTCTGCATTGAAATGTGGTATTTTAGAAGTGCTGGAAAAACAGGGAAGAGTGTGGGATGAGAGAAGTGGTGTGGGCTTGAATCTTAGTGTCTGTTTTTAGTCAGATGTTGCAGATTAAGTTTTCGAAAAGCAAAAGGAAGTATTCCTGCCTTTCCACACCACCACCCAGGAGAAGCAAAGCAGAACTAGCCAAAAGACTGCCTTATGATTTTGTATTTCCTCTGGAAAGAGGGGGTGAATTTCCTGTCCAGTTAGAGACCTAAAACATACCACATCAGCTGTCTACAGTGTGAAACCCCTTGTGTTGGTTTTGCATGGCAAGGTTTTG